GTCACGTGACTTCTTGTTCGACGCGAAATGATGAAAATAATATGCTTCTAATAGCATTCATTCCTATAATGACTTGTCAGGTAAAAACCGTGACATCACCCCCTTCTCAAGGTTCATCGTCCCGATGAGCCAAAGCCTTTGGCGCCTCGTATGGTTCGCTTTGCGAGTGAACTATCTGCTTCAGAAATGATTCCTGGAGCGTAACGTTCGCATATGAGTTGTGCGACATGATCGCCTGTCCTGACCTCGAATGGTTTGCTGGTCATATTAACGAGAAGCACCTTGATTTTCCCTGTGTAATCTGGGTCAATTACCCCTGCTGCGACATCAATTCCTTTGAGGGCTAGCCCACTTTGGGGGGCCACTCGAATGTACGTCCACTTTGGGGGATCAACCATGAGTCCTGTGCCAATGAGCATTCTGGAGTGTGGGGGGATATCTATGTCTTGTATGGACTTGACATCCCAGCCAACAGCTTCTGCAGAACCCTTGTAGGGTGCTCGGGCATTGGGATGGGTGCAGAAGAAGAACATGAATTCATCAGGGTGGTCGGACAGAGCAATTTTGTGCACTTTGCGTGTTCGCAGCTTTGCTCTTGGAGCGTCTGGGTGTGTCTTGTGGAATTCCTCTATTTTGTCTTTGACGTTTGTGAGGTTTTTCAATGGTTCCCAAGTATTATCGCTGTGGTCGTAGTCCAACCATTTCACGAGATACTGGGTTTTGTTATACCTGACTCTTGAGTCCAGGATGTCCTCTACATCCCATTCTTCCTCTCCGTCAATGATGACTGGGGGATTAGGGGGAGGTACACGTCCAGGGATAGAGTCTTGATGGAACATTATAAGCTTAGAAGTGTGAAATACGGGATGTATCTTCATGTCCGCTGGTAGTTGCAGTTTGAATGATATGACTCCGATCTTTTCAAGGATCTTGAATGGCCCATAGTTTTGAGTCGCTAGCTTTTGGCTTTTGACTTTGACGTGGAGGTCTTTTCCTCGAATAAGCACTTCGTCTCCTACTTTGAAAGGGATGTCCTGCTTTTTAAGGTCGAAGTACCATTTCATTTTTTCTGCTGCTAATGACAAAGCGGCACGAGCTTGTTCCTATGCTTGATCGCGGTTGTGGAATAGGTGTTCCAGGGATGGGTGTTGTATCCCTTCCAGTACATCTGGTGTCATGCAGGGGTGTCGACCATGCTGAATGAAGAACGGGGACAGACCGGTCGATTCTGAAGCTTGATTGTTGTAGGCGAATTCCGCTGTGGGCAATAGTGTAGCCCAGTCAGTTTGCCAGTAATTGCAGTACATGCGCAAATACTGCTCCAGAATCTGATTGACTCGTTCGGTCTGTCCATCCGTTTCAGGGTGATAAGCTGTAGACATCGTAGATTTAATGTGAAGTTTCTGGCAGAACTCCTGGAATAGTTTGGCTGAGAACTGTGTGCCTCTATCGGATATGATCTGTCGGGGAATTCTGTGGAGTTTGAATACTTCAGTATAGAAAATTAATGCTACTTGAGATGCTGTCACCATGTCGTCTACTGGGTAGAAGTGTGCATGTTTGGTGAACCTGTCGACGACTACCAAAATGGCAGTCTTCTTTTCTCCCCTGTGGTCTGGGCTTGGCGGTAGCTGTGTAATCAGGTCACAGATAACCATTTTCCAAGGCCCTTCTGGTACTGTGTTAGGTTGAAGTAGTCCGTAAGGCTTCTGCTTGCTCGTCTTGTTTCTTTGACAGGTTACGCAGCCTTGGACGTACTTCTTAACATCAATGGTGAGCCCTGGCCACCAGTAATTCCTGCTAATCAGTTCTTGCGTCTTCCATCATCCAGGGTGTCTGGCCATGGAGATGTCATGATGTAGCTTGATCAGCTCATTCTGCAGCGTAGAGTCCTTTGGAACGTAGACCTTTCCTCTTCTGAGCAGCAATCCATGCTCGAAGTTCCACTCTTGGAAGTCTTTTCTGAACTCTCGCTTGCCAGTTTTTAGTAGGTACTGGTAACCTTTGGTCATTTCGTCGTCTTGCAGTGCCGATTTCACTCTTTCTAGAAGTTTTGCATCGTCAACTTTGGAGGAATGAGTGGCTGAGATCGCATGGATGGCAAAGTATTCGGGTTGAAGCAAAGTTTGCCCTGAATTGTCATTGCTCACCCCCTTCTCATGATCTGGCCTCCTGGACAGAGGATCGGCATGCATCATCGTCTTTCTGGGGCAGTGATGGAGAATAAAGTTAAATCTTGTAAGGTAAAGTGACCATCGAGCTTGTCGTCTGGTCAGTGTCTGAGCTTGTCGGAAATAGGTAAGATTAAGGTGATCCGACCATATCTCAACCGGGTGCGGGTGTCCTTCAAAGTATTGCCTATATTCTTCTAATGCCCGAATGATAGCTAGCATTTCCTTGTCATAAATCTCATAGTTGCGCTCATGTTCATTGAGTGACTTGGAGTAATAAGCGACAGGATGCCAGAATTCATCTTCTCCCAACTGTTCAAGGACTGCACCTGTGGCAAAGTCCAAGGCATCTGTCTCTAGTCTAAAGGGACGGATTGCGTTGGGGAGTGCTAGGATTGGGGCTGAAGTGAATGCAGTTTTGAGGGCCTCGAATGCCTTTTGTTGAGGGTCTTCCCATTTCCATGGTACATCCTTACGTGTTAATAGAGTCAAGGGTCGGGTCATCGATCCGAAATCCTTGATGAATCGTCGATAGAAATTTGCCAGACCAAGGAATGCTTGTACTTGCTTTACCTTGGTGGGCACCGGCCATTTGAGCACGCCGTCGACCTTCTCTGAGTCCATCTGTATTGACCCTTTTGAGATTATGAGTCCAAGAAACTTGACGAAAGTGGTCGCAAAGTGACACTTTTCTGGTTTCACGAACAGGTCATTGTCTCAGAGTCGTTGTAGAACCTCTTTGGTCAGACGGTCGTGTTCCTCCTGGTTATCCGTAAAGATGATGATGTCATCTATATAGACTGCCACCTTTCCAGTGCGGATGAGATCGCCTAGGACGTCATTCATCATGGCCTGGAAAGTGCTAGGAGCATTACAGATCTGAAGTACATTACAGTGGGTTCAAATAACCCTGTATGGGTAATGAACACTGCTTTTTCCTCATCTCCCTTGTGAAGGTGTACATTGTTGTACCCCCATCTCAGGTCTAGTGTAGTAAATATACTAGCCCTTGAGAGTCCGTCAATGAGATCGTTGATTCGGGGGAGTGGGAATTTGTTCTTCTTGGTGACGCTGTTTAATGCCCTGTAGTCTTGGACTAGTCTAAGAGAGCCATCCTTCTTTTTGACGAAAAATACCGGAGCGGCGTAAGGGGATTTAGATGGTCGAATGTAGCCCTTGGCTTGTTCGCTGTCAATCCATTCATCGAGCGAGTTCTTCTCTTGTAAAGACATAGGGTATACTTTTGCCGGTCTCGGGGTTGCCGCGTCTGGGACAAGATCAATTGCGTGATCGTAGAGCTTACACATCGGCATTCTTTCTGAGCTCTTCTTCGAGAACACATCTCCAAATTGATGAAATTCTGGAGGGACGAACTTGGACCAATATTCTTTGTCCTGTGTCTCTTCTGCCGGCTGTTCTACCAAATGCTCCTTTACCTTCTTGCTTATACCTAGGATGTCGTGCACCATGTTACAAAGATCCTGGTCTTGCAAGTCTATCCAGTTGATGAAGTTATCTTCCTGATCCCACCCGTCATCCATGTGTACGTCGGGAAGAATTGCTTCATCCTCGAGTCGAGGTTGCGATAGAAGGTTGACTTCTTCTTCGCATACTTTGACTCGTTGCTTCCTCGTGTGTCTGCATCTTGAGAACGTGACCTCTCTGTGTTCCCAGTCAACTTGGGGGTTGTGTTCTTGTATAAATTTCATGCCAAGGATCATTGACATGCGTCCAAGGTTTGTGACGAGCAAACTCTCGGTTGATCGGTGCCCCCCGATTAAGATGCTTGTGACTACACGATGAGTAATTGCGCCACCCTTGTTGGGGCTGGCGTCTGCGTTGAGGATTCGGATTTCATGGTTTAGAGGTATTATCTTAAACCCGTGCTTCTCAGTGAATCTTTGGTCGATATAGCAAGAGAATGCTCCAGAATCCAATAGTGCCGTCGTCTGGATTTCCCGTGATACGAATCTTATCGGCAATTCGATCGAATGTTTAGAAAAACCTGTGGATGCAATATATAGATGGTCGCTAGGTACATTCGTTTTCACGGTACTAATACAATCGTCCTGAAGTGTGACACCAGACTCGTCTACACTTCGTACTGAAAATCCTCTGAGAAATTGTCTATCTCGACGATTCTCGCATTGGTGTCCTTGACCGTAGATGTCAATGCCATTGATGCTGTGTCCGAGCTCTTCGCCTTGCCTTTGCCCTTGCTGGACGGTGGTGTAGTCAACATTGTGCTCATCCTGCGAAGTGCAGCAATTGCTTGTTCCAGTGCCGCAATTTGAGCTGATGAGCCCGCGCTACTTTCTTCCTCCACCTGTCGCACGTTCGTCACCTTGCCCTTCCCTTTTCCTTGCCCTTGCTTCAGGGCAGATCGTGTCTGAAACTGCTTGCCCTTGTATTCTGGCTTGGGGGAGGGGCACCGCTTTCCTCGTTCATAGGCATGCTTTCTGCAGAACAAACATAGTTTGTTTGCCAGCCATCTGTCCTGTTTCGGGGATAGTTCATGTGCAATTCATGCGCTTGTGTCCATTGCGTTAGGATCCTTGGGAGCGGTCGCCCTGGTCGTCGTGGTCTGTCCTGTAGACTTGTTGCCTGAGATTTGTTGGAGATGTTTGATTTCGATCTCCAAGCAGAACTCGAGATAGTCCATCCAGGTGGTTGGAATCTTTGAGGGGTTCAGAGTCTCCGTTACCAACATGACCGTCTGAATGTGGATCGACCGTTGTTCCCTGATTTTGACGATCAGGTCATCAGAGTATCCTGATTTGAGGGCGTAAGCCCTGAAATTCTCTGCGAAGGTGATCATTGTCTTGTGGTGAATTGCACAGTGTGCATCTAGCAGAGATTGTGCTGTGCGCTTGGAGTCAAGCATCTTGTATGCCATTTCTAGTTTTCGAGTATATTCTGCCCATGTGCCAACGTCTTGTCCAGAGGTGAGCTTGATTGCATACTCCTTCATGTATAGAGCAGCTCTGCCTTCCAGATGCACGTTGGCTTGCCGAATTTTGTCCTTGTCGTCCGTGAAATGGTTATAGTCGAGCCAAATGAGCAGGTTCGTGAACCAGGTTTCAAAATTTTCTGACGACTTCCTTCTCAAATACTTGGGAGGATCGGGAAGCTTAATTTGGCGAGGCGATTGACTAGATTGGCCGGCCGGTGGTTGGATACCTGTGGAGGGTGCATTGATAATGGCATTATTGAGTCGAGACTCTAAGCCAACGATATAGGTAGTGGCCTTTTCCTGAGCCTCCTTCAGGGCGACCATGTTGCCGTAAAGGGCATCCATCTGGCCCTTTACTTCATCCTTGTAATCCTCGAAGTTCTTGCGGATTGCTTGGGCTTCAGCTGTCAGACTGTTATTCGACTTGATGAGCCGTTCGTTGTCGGTGGAGAGGGTGCCGATCTGGGCTCTTGCGGTCCTTAGCTGATCTCGCGTTTCCACCGCCATTATTTTGACGTGGATGCGGGCCAGGATCTCTTCTTCCAATGAGGCCACCATGTGCTCATGATGTTCATCCATCTTTTGACGTAATGCTTCGTACGAGCTCACAACGTCTCTCATGATGAACACCTGCACCACGTTCATCATCCATTCCTTTACGTCTCTTGGGATGGTGTTGGGGGCTGCGGCATTGGTGGCTTCCTCGATTGTGTCGTAAGAGATACCCTGCCATTCCCAAGTCTGAGGTGTGGTGAATTCTGGCAGGGTGGTGGGCGACGGGTTTCTGACTACTACCGAAGCCTTGGGTGTGCTGCTGTTATGTGGTTCTTCTGCAGGGGCAGCTGGTCCTGCTTCTGATGATGTAGAGGGGGCATTGCTCCTCCAGGGGTCCAAAGGTTCACTAGCGGTGTGTCCTCCTGGGAACGCAATGCCTCCAACATTGTATTGAGACATTGGTATCGTTGTTGAAGATAGCGGAAATGAGGAAGCGTTCGAAATGATGATTTTACTGGGGTGAATTATTGGCTCCCGGTAATTGTGCTAGTTCGATAACTCGATTCCTTCATGCTGCGGCTTCTTCGAGCCTTGCTGGGCGAGGGGGTCTTTGTTCTGGAAAGTCTCTATACCAGTTTACCCAGAAAAGTTCTTCGTCTTCCTGATATAACCGAGCAAGACGTTCTCAGTAACGGTTTTCTATCCACTCGTGAACTGGATTGATGATTTCGATGCCTGTCTCGATGAGTCGAAAAGGTGTGTGTAGGGTGACTTGGCGTTCGATGTCAACCGGATAATGATAGAGTGAGATGGAACGCTCTGATAGTAGGGGTTGGTAGATGAAGTACCCCGTGCACACCAGATGATGATAGAGGTCGGTGATGTAGTGCTCGATCACGTAGTTTCTGAATACAAAACTGACTTGATACCGGGGCATGAAACTGCTGATATGGTAGTACAAAGATGTTTACTGATTCTAGTAGGGCCAGTAGCACGACTCCTTCTCAAACCTCACTATGTCTCGTCCTATGCGCTCCTGCTCCTTATTGATGCCTCTGAATGAAATTGTCCCTAGTCCTATGCAAAGCTTGATGGCGATGCGTCTATCGACGAACGTGAAGTTGTCACCTCTTCCAATCCTCTCGTTCAAGGCTCCTAGGTGTCGCAGAATACGATCACGACACTGGATCTGCTTCTCTGTGAACTTGGCCGCGATATAGGGCTGCAACAGGACTTTGTACCGCTGAATAGTAGCATATACAGTTGGTGCAATGTTCTCGGGAAGGGTTCCTTTGGGATTCTCGTGGATCCCTCGAGGGTGATAGCTCTTTGAGAGTGCGAAGGCGAGGACAGCAGTGGCGTCATCGTTAGACCATCAATGGGGTTTGTAAATGGGGACGGATGGGTCAGATGCATCTCTTGGAATTGCTTCGGCCCACGAGCTGACCTTAAAGCGTAGCTTTTGTAGGTCAGAGCGGTAATCGTCGGGCTTGGCACGAAGTAGGTTGCTCGCCATTAGATGGCGAGTGCGGTTAGGGTGAGGATGGTACGGGTGGTATCATCCGTTGAGTGGAACGATTCCGTTGTGTACTTGAGGTGCCTTACCAGTTGGTGCAGCGCTGTTCCTTTTGAAGGAAGGAAGCGGCTTAGGCAGTAGAGGCGAAGTGGAATGGTATGAGGGAAGTGGTGTGAAAAAAGCCCTGCCCTGGGTGGATATATCTCTGGGCGAAAATGTGCGGCTACCAGTGTTAGACACTTGGTAGGGGCATAAAAGGTCAATCTTATTCTAATGTCACGGCACGCCGATGACAAAGATAGACAACCAAAATAAGGAATCCCCTTGAGGGTCTCCTGGCTGAGAGCCTACAGCGACGAGCTGTGGGCGATACGACGTGCCCAC